TGTATTTACTTGTATTGTTCTCAGTTTGCTGATTAAACAAAGGGGACAGTCAATCATTTACGTTCAGTAATGTGTGTATTTGCAGTGGAAACATTAGTGTTTTGTGCTAAGCAGGCAATATTCAGTGATCTATATGAAAGGTCACGGTTTTATGTCTCAAGGCATATATTTTTATTTTTATAATTCCCCTACTCAGACTAAAAGAAATACATTCTGCGGATATAGAATATAATTTTATAAATATATGAAATTTGATGTGTTGGGTACTACACGTTTCTGTGCACTTCTAAAACTCGAACAGGTTTATTCTCCAAAGTAATAATTGTTGGTTATTTCAAGTGAATTCCAAATTTAAGGCTATTGTAGCAGTACTGAAGCCTAGCGGACTTGGATAATTTTTCTAGCACAGATAATTTGACCTTAAATTTATAATTCACTTTAAATTCTGAAAATTTTTCATTTGGATTTAAATAACCCTGTTTGAATTCCCGACAAGTGTCTCGGCTGTTAACAAGTTTTTTCTTTATTTTAGTCTATCCACCAATATCTTTATTTAACTCGTGATATCCTGCTGGTGTCAAAATCAAATGCCATTCTCATCAGTTAATAAATTTGACACCATTGTGTACACTTCTCATTCCAACCTCCTTTCTTCCTTAAACCAGCAGCACTGCTTAACATTATCTAGTACAAGGGTGCCCAAAACGTAGAGCCCCACATGTTTTATAACTACTGCTTCCGTGATGCTTTGTTATTCTAAAAGCATTCTAAAAGCATGCAAAGTATCATGGTAGTTGTAGTTCTACAACATCTGGAGATATAACTTTTGGGCACCCCTCATCTAGTATCTTCTGACAAACCTATTCTTGACCACCTTGCCAACTTCCTCTCCTCTACACTAGCTTCATCTCTCATTAATTTATTCTACTAATATCGCGTCATTTGCTTTATACCACTGTGCAGTAGAGGACTAACACAGAGAGGGTTCTGGTGCAAGGATTAAAAAAGGTAGATCCCTGACTGTCATACAACTCCCACAATACTTTTCACTCTAGGGATCTTCTATTGTCCATCCTTGTAGGGCTGTACTTAGCAATGAGTGGTGTTTCTATGTTTAAATGTTTTTGTATGGAGTGTGTGTTTTTAGGGGAGTATTTGTGTGTAGTGTTGGAGTTCGAATTCTGAAATGTATGCATATACACTGCCACACACACACACTCACACAGACACACAATAATAATACAGATACACACACAAATACAAAGATACAGCTATGTACTGATACAGATGCACAGATACAGACACTGACACACTTGCAGATACACAGACACACACACAGATACTCTAGTAATTGTGGTTATGAAAATGCACTTCAAAGTTAAATTATAGATCACTGGTAATAATGTATTTAATCTATTTCAGGTGCTAACCACTACTTTGTGTAAACCTCAAAACACTCCAAAAGTATTCAATAAAATAGATTAATATATGTGAAAACCATAAAACCAACTCAATCTCGTCAATACACTTTTTAAGTGCTCGTGCAAAAAATAAAAAAATAGTGTTTTTACAAAATGCTTAATACATCCAAAACGTGTTCAACACATTTGCAAACATGGCACAAACATTTTATGAATTGCATGCAGTTTAACCACGGCTTGTTTATTTGAAATTGCTGTGTTTCTATATAGCACATAAATTATATTTGTGGAATACACTAAGCAATTTAAAAGTGGGGAGGGGGGCGGCGGGGAGAAGGAAAAAGGGAAAATAACTAATAGTGTACTCTCCTGAACCATAGACTTTTGAGAAGTGAATGTGCAATATATTTATATTTATATTTTCATACTCCTGTATAGTCTTCTTATGTATTATGTTTTATTAATTTTTTTGTGTTATGTACATTTTATGGGAAGGGAAAAAAGGAAAACAATAAAGATTATAAATTTAAAAAAATAATAAAAGTGGGGAACATATGTTCCGAAGAACAATATGTGCTTTAAATATGGCTTTTTTTTTTTTTTTGCAGATTGAAAATATATTTCTCTTGTAATGGAAAGTAGAAGTCGTAGACTTTCAACAAATTCTTGCCAAGATTATGTGGTTTGCCAGCAGAAGACCAACCAAGGCTGCCATTCATTGTCAAAGAGTTCTTCTGCTCTGACATCTAGTGACCAAGGAGACTCGCAAAAGACCAGGCAGAATATCCATAAAAGTCTGAAAAATGTCCTCCGCACATCTGAATGCAAGGAAACAAATAGCATTCAGTCTTCAAACAGCACTGAGTGGCCTCCTATCCAAGATGAAGACCTCAATTTGTTTTTAGAACATACAAACTACAGTCATCTTGCCATTGACCACACAAATGAAAAACCTAAGCACATGAACCATTTGGCTATTGATTCATCTGTAGAACCCAGAGATGAAGGGGGCACAGTAAGTTTTATCAGAAGCAACATATCAGAGAATCTCTCATTATTGGGCACCTCTGAAACTAAAGAATATGAAGTTCAGAATGTAGACAGGCTTGGAATACAAGGAACAGGGGTTCAAAAAAGCTATTCTGATTTCTTCGGTTGTAGCAGGACTCCCCTCACTAGCCCTTTCATGACGCACAATAGAAATAGTGCCACTTATTCTGTCTTATGTTCGTCTAGCAGTTTTTCTGGTTCATTCAGTGATGGGATAAGCAGTGCAACAAATGACTCTGGAACAGCCTGCTCGCCATCAAACCATCAAAATGATTTAACTGAGGTGATGAATTCAGTTAGAGATGAAAATATTCCCAAAGGACATTTGAACAATAGTGCCATTCAGCACAACATTACAGTCTATGCAGTATCAGGCACATACGAACATGGCGTTTTAGGACCAAAGAATTCTGGGAATGGTTTCCCACAAAATACACACTTGTTCAGCCAGTCACATTATAATATTCCAGGGATGATGTCCTGTGATAACATATCTGACATTAAACATTCTCCACCACCAATGATCATTCATAATAGCTGTACTCTACATTGTTGTAAAGGCCATGAGCCCATGATGAAGGTGGATGATACAATTGCGGCATATTGTCATGCCATGCCTATATCATCGGTTCAGTTTTCCTCTGGTCTAGACTGCTCAATTATTGAATCTGGGATAGGACCACCTCCACAACATTTTTATTCCCTTTTACCCCCTCCCATAACTTTTCCTAAACTAGTGTCTTCTGTTAGTGAATCGGGACTGGATGCAAAGAAATTGATCAAGTGTGGTCGGTTGGCCTTTCCAGCAGCACCAGTTTCCTTTGGTGAACTACAGTTGCACAGTTCTTCAGCACAGGGTAGCAATGAACTACTTATAATCAAGAATTCTGAAAGGTCATCAGATAATCTACAAACAACAGATTCAATCACAAAAATGAAAGACACATGGACTATGACTTCAATGAACTGCTTATCCATGGGGCCAAAGCTTACACTTGATTTCAGAGATGCAGAGGTTCAAACTGTTATTATCATGGAAAATAAATCTGTTTCGACTAGTCCCTGTTTTCAGAACTCTGGCCATTCTCACTTATTTCCAGATGTTGGAATACCACTAAATTTGCAGTGTCCCAAATCTCCAGTACGTGAAGTAAGGTGGGATGAAGAAGGCATGACCTGGGAGGTATATGGTGCAGCAGTTGATCCTGAGGTTTTGGGTTTAGCAATACAGAAACATTTGGAGATCCAGATAGAACAGAATTTGCAATCCAACGAGCTGTCTGAAGAAAATCCAGCGAAACTGTCTCCTAAAGAAAAGAGAAGGTCACTTAGAAATGTCATCCATTCTCTTCGACAATCTAACTGCTGTGTGCGTACCAACTCTACAACTGAGTGATACCCGTGAGTGCGGGACTGGATTTCACATTTTGCAGATTCACGTTTTGCAATAGCCTGGACTCAATAATTATGGTGCTCGGTTCCAGTAGCTATATGAAATAGGCAAAAAATGTACAACAAATGGTGACATTGTCAACTGGATTTACAGCATATATGATTAAACAGGGCTTCTGGTTCCACCATACTTTTGTGCCTTGGAGTACATCATTACAAAAATCCAACTCTAGTGAGCTGCCTATTGCCATTGCTTGTTCACATAATTTAAACGTGCCAGGCACAAAAGAGAGGAGCTGTTTATGGACAACAAGGAAAGTATTTTGCCTAAGGAGAAATGTTCATATTTATGTAATTGCTCTACCGTCTTTTCTCATCAACACAACTTTGTTATGTATTATTAATTGCAATAATTAGACCAGATTAAGCATGAATGAAATAGCTCAGTCACTAGGGCTTCATCAGCAGTATCTCAGAATCACTGGTTCAGTTCCCAGCAAAGTTTAAAAAATAAGTACCAATCAATCCGATAATAACAACATAGATTTCTGCACAATACTCAAAAGTTAATTATTTCTTTATGTAGATAAACTGGCATTATACATGGAAATTGGTATATAGGTTAAGCATTTTGTTTATTTTTTAATTCAGAGCATACAAATATATGATAAAATGTAATAATTGAATATATGTATATTATTATTATTTTTTTCGTTTTTTTGGGGCAATTTTATGCGCCAACTTATTCCGCAGCACTTTATTAATAATTTAATATTAGAACATTTACAATGTTGGGATATGTCTTTGCAAACTAAGTTTATATTTTTTTCTATGACCATTGCCATGTATATTGTTTGTTTTTCTATTTATTTATATTTTCTGCTCATTTCTTGCCTTTCTTCTAAGGAATTTTAGGGGCGAATTGCGAAACGCGTAAACAGTTTAAGAGTCATAGACTAAATTTCAATTTAGTTTCTCAATTTTGTTTAAGTCTGCTTCAACACAACAGACAATTATAGTTTAATTGTCTAATTTATAATGCAAAAAAAATATTACATTTACAAAACATAAAAGTGAAGTCTACAAATCAGCATTTATATCCTTTCTTCCTTTTTTTTTTTATTCCAGAACAGTGAAAATATATCTAAAATATTTTGTTGCTTTCTTGTTTGGCAATTTGAAGATTTTTGTCTGTATTCATGAACTGCTTTAACCCCTTAAGGACACATGACATGTGTGACATGTCATGATTCCCTTTTATTCCAGAAGTTTGGTCCTTAAGGGGTTAAATATATTAAACAGGAAGCTATCAGACTATACTGTGATGATACTGGAATGCGTAATACTTGGTGCTTTCTGGCAGAGAGAAGTCAAAATGTAATTGTGAAATGCATCATTCTACTTTCTGGGCAGTAACATATTTGGTGTGTATCCAATTTCCTCTTAATGATACTGGCTCATTTGTTTATTTTTTAAGTTATTAAATAATTTGCAGTTAAAACATCCTTATGTTATTTTTAATGGCCTTTGTTATTTTTACTCTTCTGTACACCACTCCTTCAGAGCAGGATTGACCATAAGATGACCATAGGCATAGAAACGGACATTCAAGGAATGAAAAGGACTCCATCTTAAAGGACCACTCTAGGCACCCAGACCACTTCAGCTTAATGAAGTGGTCTGGGTGCCTGGTCCAGCTAGGGTTAACCCATTTTTGGGTTAAGCCTTCCCCCTATTCCCTCTAGTGGCTGTCTCATTGATAGCCACTAGAGGCGCTTGCGTGCTTCTCACTGTGATTTTCACAGTGAGAGCACGCAAGCGTCCATAGGAAAGCATTGTAAATGCTTTCCTATGCGACGGGCTGAATGCGCGCGCAGCTCTTGCCGCGCATGCGCATTCAGCCCAGGAGGAGGAACGGAGGAGGAGAGAAGGAGGAGAGCTCCCCGCCCAGCAATGGAAAAAGGTAAGTTTTTACCCCTTTACCCCTTCCAGAGCTGGGCGGGAGGGGGTCCCTGAGGGTGGGGGCACCCTCAGGGCACTATAGTGCCAGGAAAACGAGTATGTTTTCCTGGCACTATAGTGGTCCTTTGAATGGACACTCCAGACCCCTAAAGCACTTTAGCTTGTTGAAAAGTTTTATGTGTGAAGAGTGTGTCCTGCTTTTTCATTTTGGAAAAAGTGCAGATTTCAATAGATATTGACACTTTTATAAATTATACAGGTTACAACCCCCCAGCTTTTCAATCAGGCAACCAAACCTGTTACTTCCTGGTTTGGTAATCTCAGCTAAACAGAAGAGGCAGCTATTGCCAGAGCACCTGCATTGCAAAGATTTCTTATTGTGCTGCACTGGTTGATTGGAAGCACAGAAAGTCTGGGCGGAGTTAGAATGGGAGGTCTTGTAAAGGCAGCAGACAAGAGAACTGCAGGTTCTGCGAGCTGTATGTTTATATATACTGCTCAAAAAAAAAAGGAACACAAAAATAACACATCCTAGATCTGAATTAATTAAATATTCTTCTGAAATATTTTGTTCTTTACATAGTTGAATGTGCTGACAACAAAATCACAGAAAAATAAAAAAATGGAAATCAAGTTTTTCAACCCATGGAGGTCTGGATTTGGAGTCACACTCAAAATTAAAGTGGAAAAACACACTACAGGCTGATCTAACTTTGATGTAATGTCATTAAAACAAGTCAAAATGAGGCTCAGTAGTGTGTGTGGCCTCCACGTGCCTGTATGTCCTCCCTACAATGCCTGTGCATGCTCCTGATGAGGTGGCGGATGGTCTCCTGAGGGATCTCCTCCCAAACCTGGACTAAAGCATCTGCCAACTCCCCGACAGTCTGTGGTGCAACGTGACGTTGATGGATGGAGCGAGACATGATGTCCCAGATGTGCTCAATTGAATTCAGGTCTGGAGAACGGGCGGGCCAGTCCATAGCATCAATGCCTTCGTCTTGCACGGTGTTGGGCTGTAAGCACAACCCCCACCTGTGGACTTCGGGCCCTCATACCACCCTCATGAAGTCTGTTTCTGACTGTCTAAGCAGACACATGCACATTTGTGGCCTTCTGGAGGTCATTTTGCAGGGCTCTGGCAGTGCTCCTCCTGTTTCTCCTTGCACAAAGGCAGAGGTAGCGGTCCTGCTGCTGGGTTGTTGGCCTCCTACGGCCTCCTCGACGTCTCCTGATGTACTGGCCTGTCTCCTGGTAGCGCCTCCACGCTCTTGACACTACGCTGACAGACGCAGCTGTGGCGGAACCAACCTCGCCACTGGCCACTGGAGGAGCCTGGTCGCCCGCCTCCTGCTGCTGGACTATGGCCTCATGTTTAACACTGTAATTTTTCCCTGCAGAAAGGCTGGTTCGTGCCTTTCTGTGGACTGTTAAAGTCACGAACACAGCTGAGCCGCCGACCTCCCTTCTCCTACCTGCAGTCAATTATCCGAACACCGGTCCGTTCGGTACTTTACTGTTTAAACCATGCTACCCCAGATAGCTATGCCATGGAGCCCAGCCATATACTGAAAGACTGTATGAAAGACTTTGGCTCCATGGCAATTGAACTATATGTATGTGATCTGAGCGCCATCCGGTAATAATGTGCGCTCAGATCTAAGCTATCTGGGGATAGGTAGAATGTGTATGTTCTATGTGATAAATGTAACAGTATGTATTTTTATGTCTTTTATTGTCCTTTGTCTGCCATGTGGTTAATGGACTTTTGCCTCTGTCCTTGGAGATAATTGGATTACTTCCCAATTATCTCCAGGACAGAGAGGAGGGATTCTGATGCATTGTGGGATTGTAAACTTGTGATTGGTCAATGTCCAATATGTATCCCAGTTTCCCATCTGGTTCCCTAGGGGAGTGTCCACCAGGTGGGAGACCTGCATAAAAGCCAGGCAGGTAGCCCCAGTAAATCAATTCTGCTTGACCCTCAAACGAAGTGTCGTCTCGTTCTTGGGGGGAATTAGATTTTATGCTGTTACAGTGCGACTGCCAGGAGTGTAAACTGTTCGTATGGTTTTTCCTGTTCGGCTGTTTACAGCATTCGTGTGTTTCCTGTTTGGCTGTTTACCGCATTCGTGTGTTTCCTGTTCGGGAGTTGGAGTTTTCATGTGTTTGCAGTTCGGGGGATTGGTGAATTCGTGTGTTTGCAGATTTGGGTGATTGCAGTAGCTGCCTGTGCATCTGAAAAGGAGAATATCGCCTAAACAGTTTTTAACCTCTTGTGTGCAAAACGGTCCGTTACAACAGCAAACCTTCTTGCCACAGTTCGCATTGATGTGCCATCCTGGATGAGCTGCACTACCTGAGCCACTTGTGTGGGTTGTAGACTCCGTCTCATGCTACCACTAGAGTGAAAGCACCGCCAGCATTCAAAAGTGACCAAAACATCAGCCAGGAAGCATAGGAACTGAGAAGTGGTCTGTGGTCACCACCTGCAGAACCACTCCTTTATTGGGGGTGTCTTGCTAATTGCCTATAATTTCCACCTGTTGTCTATCCCATTTGCACAACAGCATGTGAAATTGACTGTCACTCAGTGTTGCTTCCTAAGTGGGCAGTTTGATTTCACAGAAGTGTGATTGACTTGGAGTTACATTGTGTTGTTTAAGTGTTCCCTTTATTTTTTTGAGCAGTGTATATATATATATATACATACCCCAAATTAAAAAATGCATTTAAGTTTTATTTGGGGTATATTTACTAAATATTGATTTATTTATTTTGTATTTGGTCCGTGGAGTGTCCCTATAATAAAAATCATTTTTGGGCATAGATACAGCCTTACAGATAAAAACAGTGTTGTTTCTGAGAAAAGAAGGAAGCTAATAAAATGGGAAGTGTAACATAAATACAACATCTGGGGGGTTTTCTTTGGTTTTAACAGAACAGAGCTGATTCCACAGTTCTGCTCAATATAGCATTGCTACAGACAAGTTCATGTTTAACAAATCTCTAAAATCTCCTTCCAATTACCTCACAGACAGTATAGAAAGCCATAAGGAGCCACAGCACCAAAGTAGATCATAAAGAGATTTATTTCAACTGTATTGAAGCGGTAACGTTTCGACCCAACCTCAGGGTCTTTATCAAGGTTTGATAACGACCTTGTGGATTGGATCGAAATGTTGCCGGTGAAAAAAATCTCTTTGTGATCTACTTTGGCTAACTACTCCTTATTGCTTTCCATGGTGCAAAGCCTATGGCTGATAGAATTCATAACCGAGCAGACAATGCATGTCTGTGTCCGAAGCATCTATAGTATATGTAGAATGGGTGGGGGATTTTTATGTTTTTTAACTATGTCCCAAAATCTTGACATTATTAGTTAATTAGCCTTTGAGCTGTATCTCTGGACAACAATTAAAGAGGATGGAAGAGGATGGATGGAAGCGCAACCGAATCTGTTGGCGCTATATAAATGGCAATAATAATAATAAATAATAATAATGTTTTTTGTAATACAAACCATTAGTGTTCACCATTCACAATCAAAAGATGCTTCACCAAAATAAAGCTTTAACAAATCCTTTCAATTTAAAATAATAATAAACATCCAAATTACCTCTTTGTCTAACACGAACATCTTATTACACTTATTAGAGTGACCATACACAATACAAATATTAATATAAATACTATACATAGGTTTTTCACATTTTATAAGATTTGCACTTTAACCGAAATTTTACTATTGCTGATGAGCACCTTTTTTATTTTAAATATGGTTATTGTATGATACAGTTTGTCAATATTTATAGTTATTTTTTTGCATGTAGTATGATATTATGTCAATGGATTTGATTTTTTTTTTTTAATGAACAAATTGGCCCACTTGCCCCTGAGAACCAATTTCCACTGCATAAGGTGGAGACAGATGGCAGACTTTTAGGAGTCTATATTAGAGATTAGAGTAGTAAAGGTATTAAGCTTAGTAAATAGGTGACTAACACAATGTAGTAGAGAACGGGTCTGGAGCAGAGAGAAACAAGGAAGTACGTGAAAGTGTGCCATCATCATACTGGTGATAATGAAATCCAAAGGAATCCATTAGTTTGCCATACGGAAGCAAGATGCAGCAACTATAGGTCTCTTGGACCTTCTGGAGGAAGGTCCTTGAAGAACCATGCAAGAAAGTCATAAGCTTTTCCATTTTTCTTGCATATTTTTTAAGAGTGAAGACCATCCACATAGAAGGGATTTGTGGAGTAATGTAAAGGAAGGCTATAGCTAGTTGCCAGTTGTATATTGGGACAGGTAATTTTTTTTTCTGGTATGTAGAGTCTGTTTAGAAAGAAGAAATATCCAAAGATCTAGTGGTATTTGCTTAGAAGAAAATCTGGACATCAGTCCTGAGAACTGCTTTCAGAGGGGCTGTACATTTTAAAGAATGCCACCAGATTATTTTATACTTGATTGTCTGAGAATTTGTGTGAGTTTACTGCTGCAAATATGAGGATTAAAGACACTTAAAGGTTTAAAGGAGACTGTTGTTTTATTTTGTATTATGGACTAATAATAATGCTGCTGTAGCACCACCTTGTGTTTGGTAATTGTGTCAGTGAATGTAGTAAAAAGCTTTGGATCTTCCATACAAAGTAATTCACTAAAGTGACAATTAGTGGTAATTCCAAGAAAACATAAAATTTAAGGTGAAAATAGCCAAACAAATGAAAGCAAAGATTGGAAGGCCACAAGGTAAGCTGCAATATGAAGTATTATGAAGTTGCAATTCTAGGACGAATTCTCTACCAATCTCACCAAACTTCCAATATTTATCATATCGATTTTCTAAACATGGTAAATAATAAATTACTCTGAAATACCAGTAAAAAAAAAAAAAATGATTCTAAACATGATCAAAAAATACACGGTGATGTCTCCGAAACTCTAGCATGGAATGAGAGGGAGTCAATCGGCTATCTCACAGTTTTGCAAATTGAAGGGAAAAAAAAAAGAAGAAAAAATATGTCCAACTACACCAACTCTAATGCAAGAGTAAGTCAAATCGCTTTGGCCATAAATATACAAACAGATCCAAAGGGTGTCTAATAACTCTGGCCCTAAAAATTAGATAAATTATCCCCCACAAAACAGATACACCTTCCTCAAAGTAGGGCCAAGGTATTCCCAGTGACTGGGCTAATAAGAAAACCCCCCAGGGTCCCCCAAGCCCCTAGCTGTCAGTCTTCTTAAAGAAAATACCCTACCTACCTTCAATATCTCTAATATTTCATTGGAGGCTATAAAACCAGTGAAAATATTGAACACTTTTCAATCGATGTTAATATATACTAATGTTGAATATATTTTTCATAAGCCTTTCTTTCTAATGCTATAATGTAAAAATAAACTGATTGTAAAAAATAAAACAAAAATCTTCCCTGAGCTTTAATTTAATATTTGTATTATTTTCTTTTTTTCGTGAAGATTTAAGGAATTGGCAATAATAACAAAATCTTTGAAGAGCAGAGTTTCTAAGAACAGGTGACATTTTTCCTTAAAAATATTTTTATGTCATGTTTTGAATCTGAAAATCTATACAAACATGACGTACCAAAAATTATACTTTAAAATAAAACTCCACTGTAGTAACTATAATACCAGGAGTGCCATTGCACTCATGCCACCATAAGCACTACAGCAAACTGTAGTGTTTATGGTACTTGGAGTATTCCTTTAAAGTCTTTATATTACAGCTCCTAGGCCTCTTACACTCAATCTTTTTCTTTGCTACAATACTCTAAATCTCTGGTTTTTACCAACTGGATTGGGTCCTTAGTACTTGGAACAGGCTTATCATTTTATCATGTTCCAGGTAATAATTGTATTACTGTAGCAGCACTGTCCACCAGTGAAGACATCTGTGATTCTAGGAATAGTCTAATAAAGGTGTCAAGAAATACAATTTTGTGATATTTCAGAACAGCTAAAGAATGGGTCACTGCCGTAATTGTCAAATTAAAGAATGGGTCGATAAACTAATGCATTATATGTAATTTGAGTCCGATCAAAAAAATGGTGAATCACTGCTATAGATATAATAGGAATTCCTCTTATAATGGATCTCTGAAAAAACCCATAGCAGTAGTCCTATTGCATAAACATTTTAAATCGCAAAGAAATGTGCCCTCTGACCTTTGCTAGTTTACAAGAGTTGTTTTGATAGTGGCATGGGGGATACCAGAAGACTAAGGAAAATGTTTTTGATGAGTTCGTCCGCAGTTTAACATTCAGCGTGTTTGTTTTCCAGAACCAGCGTGGAACTCTGCAAAAAGCATGTTTACATGGAGGGAACATGCACATCGCCTGACATTACTCACACACAACATGTTCAGCCAAACACCTTTGTTATTTAAATGAAAATGATTATCCCTTTGTCACTAATTGCCTGTTTGGTTGGGTTGGAATTTCAGAAAACTTAACTGGAAAATAAAAATAAATCCTCAGCTGCTTATGTCTGCATTTTTACAGATCATGTGAGATTGTGTTGTGAATTGTGCATGACCACAGGATTACAAAAAAACAACATGTAACAATGTTGAGGCAAAATACTATTGGGAGTTAAAAAAAAAACAGTACTCCTTTAACCCCTTAAGGACTGGACTGTTTTTGCGATGTTGTACATTTGCGACCAGGCCTCTTTTTACACTTTTGTGGTGTTTGTGTTTAGCTGTAATTTTCCGCTCTCTCATTTACTGTTCCCATACAAATTATATATTGTTTTTTTTCAGGACAAAGGGGGCTTTATTTACATACCATTATTTATATAATCTCATGTAATTTAATTTAAAAAAAATAAAATAAAATATGATGAAAAATTTAAAAAAATACATGTTTTTTGACTTTTACTTTAAAAATCTTTTACTCATCTACAAAAGCGAATGAAAAAAGTTGCTAAATAGATTCAAAATTTTGTCCTGAGTTTAAAAAATACCCAGTGTTTACGTGCTTTTTTGCTTTTTTTTGCAAGTTATAGGGCTATAGGTACAAGTAGGATATTGCGGTTTCAAAACATACATTTTTAAAATTTATCAGTAGTGACATTGTAACACTATTATCTGTCATAAATCTCTGAATAACACCCCACATGTACATATTTTTTTTAAAGTAGACAACCCAGGGTATTCAATATGGGGTATGTCCAGTCTTTTTTAGTAGCCACTTAGTCGAAAACACTGGCCAAAGTAAGCATTCATATTTGTTTGTGTGTGAAAAAAGTAAAAAACTAAATTGAACGCTAATTTTGGCCAGTGTTTGTAACTAAGTGGCTACTAAAAAAGACTGGACATACCCCATTTGCAATACTTTGGGTTGTCTTCTTTTGCAAATGGTATGCCATCATTGGGGTAATTCTCATTCCTGGGCTACCATACGCTCTCAAAGGCAACGTAACCAACCTGGCCTTTTTCAATGTAAAAATATTTGACCCATATATTTGACCCTGTAAATTTCAAAAACGCTATAAAATCTGTACATGGGGTACTGTTATACTCGGGAGACTTTGCTGAACACAAATATTAGTGTTTCAAAACAGGAAAACGTATCACAACAATTATATCATCAGTAAAAGTGCTATTTGTGTGTGAAAAATGCAAAAAAAGTCACTTTCACTGACAATATCACTTTCACTAATATTTGTATTCAGCGAAGTCTCCCGAGTAAAACAGTTCCCCCCATGTACAGGTTTTAGGGTGTCATAGAAAGTTACAGGGTAAAATATAATGCTAGCATATTAAATTCTCTGGACTTTCGACCTGGGTTGGCAGGCAGGTCCCTCAAATTGCAATCAATAAAATTACTCAATTATGTAAAAATATTACATAAATAAGCACGTAGAGTTTAAATATATATGCATATTTATATATTTGAAGTCTACGTGTATATTTATATAATTATTTATGTAATTTTGTATATGGACATATGTATATTTCATATTATTTTTATTTATTTATATATACATAGATATATAAACAACTTTATTCTAAGTGTATTTTGATATAAATATATATATTACTATGAAAATACAGTTAGAATAAAATTTCATATAGATATATTTTTTTTAAAGTTTTATTATTATTTTTACATGTTGTTATTTAATTTAAATTACTTATTATTTGTATTTTATAATAATATTTATATACAATATATATAGTTATTATATATTATATATATATACCTGTGTCATTTAATTATAAGTGTATTTTTATATTAATATATGTACACATTAATATAAAAATACACTTAGTATGACATATATATGATATATAAATATATATTATATAGATATAATAAATGTCTATATGTCATATTTATATACACATATATAAAAAAAATTTTTATTAACTTTTACTTTTTATTTTTATTTTACACTAGCAGGGAGACTGCCTGTCAGCACAGGCAGTCCCCCTGCAGGCAGACACTTGGACACCTATTGAGACCATGTGATCACACAGGGGTCCTAATCCGCCATGGGGAGACTGTCTGGGCTGCAGGCAGTCTCCCCACAACAGGATAAACACCGATCGCAGCCGGGGGAACAACGGCGATCAGGTAAGTACATTGGACTGTTACGACGGTTCAGGACCGTCACCGGTCAGCAATGCAAAAATGCGATGACGGTCCTGAACCGTCCTCGGTCCTGAAGGGGTTAAAATCTGCTTGTTATTGTTTACTAGAATCATTCCCTCATTTCACCTGATCGCAATTTACTTGTCATCGTATTCACTGTTTGTTGAATGATGGGTGGAGGGATAAGGACAGCTTTGACTCACATAAAATTTTAAAGGGACACTATAGGCACCCGGATCCCTTCATCTCAAGTAGAATGGGTGCAGTGTCCCTGTTCTCTTAACCCTACAATGTAAAACATTACAGTTCTGGAAAAACTGAAATGTTTAAATATGCAGGGTTAAGACTGTATCTAAGGCTATTTACCAGACAGCCACCAGAGGTGCTTCCTGGTGTTTCATGGAGTTTGATTCCATGAAATGACGCTAGATGTCCTCACTCTTTACATGAGGACATCCAGCGTCAAGAAAATCTCCATAGGAAAGGATTTAGAGAGTGGTTTCCTATGGGGTAGGCCTAATGCGTGTGCATGTACATTGGAACACCAAATCGACTGACGTCAGCAGAGCAGAAGTGCAACCAAACCCTGAGGGATATCAGAACTGTAAGTAAGTGAATAAAGGTTTTTTTTAGCCTTTATTTGATCCAGAGGAGGTGGGGGGGCAGAAGGGGGCGGACTGCCAGAGAAGAAGGGGGGAGGGACACTAAAGTGTTAGAATACAGTTTTGTATTCCTAACACTATCGTTTTCCTTTAAGCACTTCACTCTCAAAATTGTTTATACACATTTTAGTTTAATTTACCTGCAAAATGAAATTTTTTTACATTATGCTTCACTCACCTTCATTTCTACTCCAGGAATGTTTGCCAACCTGTAAAGGAACACATTTCTCTGCCAGGAACCAATTCCACCCATTTAATGTCTACAAATGTTCTGAAATGGCAGCTTCCCCGCACCCCTTCCAGGGCGATGGAAAGGAATGAAAGATCTCTGCAATCATGGCGTTTGCCCATTTTTATTTATCTAACATTGTCACATCTACTGTATTTACGGTAATCTGTACTTTAGGTTTTATACTAACATTTCAGAGGAATATTACAAGAAAAGATGCTGTATACCACCTAAAGCTTGTCTTTCTCAAAAAAAAAAATCTGTAAAAAAATGAATAAATTAAAAATAAAATGTACATATTTTTTCATTTTTAAGTCTGTCTGAAAAGCAATCTACACACAAAATAACTTTTATATAATTTTTGTTACATATTTATGCGCTCGCTATGCATGTAAATAAATTGAATGTAAAAAAAATTTCAAACATAATGTTCTTAGTAATGAAGGGGTAAGAGATGTTTTTTAATAGGTTACCATACTAAATATAGGGCCATCAACACATGGACCAGACCAGACCTTTACTTGAGAGCGAGTTCAAAAAATTGTTGCTTTCGGACAGAATATTGCAAAGTTGATGTTTTTCATTAGTCTATAAGAAATAATTTTGTCCTGTGGCTTTACTGTAACCAATAACAAGTATTTTATCATCATAATACTTGATATAATGAATCATATTTTTTTTTTAAATGTGACATCAGTTCTTGTAGGAGACATGTATTTTTTAAATCCATCTCCTAATCTTTTTAAGCTAACAGAGAGGCCTAGTCAATCATTGTGGAATTCATAAATAATAAAATAATATTCAAGCTTTAACACTGATATTGCAGATTGATGGTCCAGTTTCAATTATTCTGTGGCCAAAGAAGAAGACATCAACGTTTGAGCAATGGTTGAATCATGGTATGCCATATAAGAGAGGAAATGTGCCCAGTACCAAAGAGAAGGTTGTACATCTAGGCAGCAAAATAATATTGCTTGTTTATGTCAGGGTTGGCTGCAGGATCCTCATAAAGGTGAGAGGCAACAACATAACAAGGCAAAGCAAGAGGCTTATTACCAGAGCTTAAAGTGGCCAGGCTTAATGTAAAGGTAGAACTGTAAAATAATAGGACTAGACTAAGAGAAGACTACAGACCAGGGGAGGAACAAGATACAAAAATACAAAACGAAAACAAATACAATTATAAAATACAAGATACCAGACACAAGCAGGTGACAGGAACGCTGAAACCAAGACATAGTCGAGACAGACAAGGAGCACATAGAAGAGTAATGTCAGTAAACAAGACATGGGCTGGTACACAAGCTGGGTAGTGCGACATCCCATGTCATAAATAACTGAGACTCAAAGAACAGGACAAAGTAGCACTATAGACTCTGGAACCAAAATAGGGCCCGGAGCAGCCAGAGAGCCCTACTTCAATAGGGAAGTCCTGTGCATGATTGGCTCTTGCTTCTTGGGAGTAATCAGCACAGAAAGGTAGCTTCTGTGTTACCCTATAAAAAACAACAATCTAGGTATTTTAGGTGGATCAGAATAGCATAGTGGCACTGCAAGTAGTGTGCAGAGATAGAAACAGTGCTTCAAATCCCACCAAAGCCAGACAGAGAGTGTTTTCTGATAGTCTGTAAAAAAACAAATTGGGTCATGGTGTGGTCTTCAATGGTGTTAGACACATAGGCCCTGAGCTCCGCTGGTGAGCAGCATTACACAGCTTACTAGCTGTAATGATCTTACCTTGATTGGGAGTCAACACGCAGGAACGAGGTACAGGCAAGGAAAATCCCCAGAGTAGTCAGGAATGGAACCAGTAGTCAGGACAGGCAGCTAACAGGCAAAACGAAGGACGAGCAGAGGATAAAGAACCAGGAGTCAGATAAACAGCAAAGATACAAAACAGGAACAAGACACCAGCCAGGCAGGGTTTAAATAGGGAAATATCAGCCACTATCAGGAACAGGTGTGTAGGGTCCTGGCGGGGAGACACAGACAACAGGATACCAGGAACAACTAGAAAATAACCAAAGATGTGTGGAGCCCAAGGTAAGGTTACTGACCGGGAAGTAGGAGACCCAGGTTCAAACCCAGTCAGGCCCAAATATACAATATTGTGTACGGCATGATGACAATCGTGACACTAGCTCAGATAAGTGCATACCAGCCACTCTACAAAGTACAGCTACTCATCTTCTTGACAGGATGGCTAATAAATTGATTCCTGTAATCACATCGAATAGCCTCTCTCTCCTCCATGCAGAAAAGCCTCCAGCTCTGACCATCGTGAGAGCACTCCATTTCTGTCTAGCCTCCATTACTAGTTGCAGACTCATCCATACAATGAATCCTGGATGAACTGTAAACCACTTTGAGAATGGACTTTCAGGACCAGAGAGAGCGCATTGCGTATTTAAAAGATAAAATTGAAGAGATTATAGAGTCTCAAACTTCAGAACTAAATTGAAGCCAAACTGGCAGATTACAAAGATCAGGACTGGAGGAGTAAGGAATCTGGGCATTCCAAAATTATAGAACCATCTCTTTCCTAAATGTTGATACCAAAATGTATGCTGAATTATCTGCTTATCAACTATTCTCTTTCTAATCTTCACTAATCTATTATGATCAATCCAGCTATATCAAAAGATGTCAATGGTCAGATAAAACGAGACACTTACTGATGTAACGATACTTACCCGGTCCACGAGCCGGCAGGGGTCCTCTGATTGAGCCAAACACGGCTCCAGCACTCCTGCCTTCAGATGAGCCACGTGTGGCTTAGAAGCTCCTTGCTTCTGTCGGGCCGTGCACGCGGAACACTCTGATTGGAAGTGCGGCCCATACAGTATTGGGATCGCTGCTCGCATTGCGAGCACGTTCTTAAAGGGGAAATGGGAGCCTAACCACTGGCCCACGTCATTTTGGCGATCCCATTCACGCAATTTTGGGGCGCAGTCATGACGTGGACCAATCAAATTAAAATTAAAGGTATTTAAACTTACCAGGCTCTAGATTCTGTGCCCTGTTATGGTTTCTGTTCTCAGTACCCTTCAGTGCGTTCCTAGTGATTTGTATTGTATTCTGGTTTTGACCTTGGCTTTGTTTCCTGACTTTGAGTTTCTTGTTAACCCTTGCCTGTATTGTTTGCTCTTCTGATTATTACCGTGTATCTGACTCTGGCTAGTTCTTATTTTCGCTGTCTCTCCATTACCCTGACCTCGGCTCGTATTTCGACTACGCTTTTCTCTGTCTAACGTTAAGTCCGGCCACTGTAAGGCCCGGTAAGACGTTTATATTTATTTTTGTCTGTTCCTTGCTATCCTATACTCTGTGTGTTAGGGTTATACTCCGTGACAAATTAATGTGATTAGCCACCTTAATAGTATGCCTTCCAAGAGCCTTCTGTTGGCACTTGAAGCTGAAAAAGCCTCCAATAGGCTGAACTGGCATTACATGCAACTAGTCCTTCGAAAATATGGTATCGCTAGAATTTATTTCCGGTATCATAATCATATGAAAACCAATTGTCAGTAGTGCTTAATTACAGCTTTAATTAATACTGTTAAAAAGATACTTCTGCAAAAATGTTTAAATATTTTTCAGATGTTCCTCATTAAATTAACCAATCTCTACTGTAATGCAATCCAGTCTTTGTTCAATTTATTTATATATTACAGCCACTGGCGTACATACCGTGGTCGCAGGGATCGCAGCTGCGACTGGGCCCGGCCCACCAGGGGGCCCGGCCGCCCTGCGACCCGGTATGTACGCCAGTGTGGCCAAGAGTTGGCCACCTCAGGGCCCCCCAAAGCTGGCCCTGGTGTCCCTCGCGCACTGCGCACTGATGTCATATGATGTAATTCCGGCTCCGGCATCAGTACCCGGTGCGCAAGGGAGCTGGGCAGAGAGCACTCAGGGGAGAGTGCTCTCTCGCGTGCCCGCCAGCCAGCCCGGTGACCGGCCATCCAGCAGCACCACTGGACCCCAAGGAATCCCCTCAGCTCTCCCAAAGGTAAGGAGGCTGGGGGATTAAATTTTAAAGAAACATGTGTGTGTGTGTTAGTGTTAGAGTGTGTGTGTTAGTGTTAGAGTGTGTGTGTGTGTTAGTGTTAGTTTTTGTGTCAGAGTGTGTTACTGTGTGTGTCTGCTAGTGAGTGTCAGTGAGTGTGTTAGTTTTTGTGTGTGTGTCACTGTGTGTGTTAGTTTGCGTGTGTCTGTTATTGAGTGTGTGTCTGCTATTGAGTGTGTCTGCTAGTGAGTGTCAGTGTGTGTGTTAGTTTGTGTGTCAGTGAGTGTGTGTGTATGTTACTGAGTGTTAGTTTGTGTGTATCTGTTAGTGTGTGTCTGTTAGTGAGTCTGTTTGGTGTCTGTTAGTGAGTGTGTGTTTGTCAGTGAGAGTGTATGTTTTGTAAGTGAGTGTGTATGTGTGTCTCTCTGTCAGTAAATGTATGTGTCTGTTAGCCAGTGTGTATGCTTCTGTTCATGAGAGTGTGTGTGCGTGTGTTTAAAACCCCTTCAGCACTTACCTTTCTCCAGCGCCGGACTCCCTTGGCGCTGGGGATCCTTCTGCCCCGATCCGCCTCTCAGCTCCGCATGCGCGGCAAGAGCCGCGCGCACATTCATAACACCCATAGGAAAGCATTACTCAATACTTTCCTATGGACGTCCAGCGTCTTCTCACTGTGATTTTCACAGTGAGAATCATGGAAGCGCCTCTAGCGGCTGTCAGTGAGACAGCCACTAGAGGCTGGATTAACCCTCAGTGAAACATAGCAGTTTCTCTGAACCTGCTATGTTTTCAGCTGCAGGTTTAAAACTAGAGGGACCTAGCACCCAGACCACTTCATTGAGCTGAAGTGATCTGGGTGTCTATAGTGGTCCTTTAAGTGTATGTGTATCTGCATGCACTGGCATACATACCGCAGTCAAAGGGGTCACAGCCCTGCGACCCCTGCGACCAGGTGCCCACCGCTATGTGTTGTGGTCCCGGCCTGCACAGAGTAAGTGCGCGAGGGGGCCCACGGATCAATTTTCACACCGGGGGCCCATGGGTCGTGTGTATGCCACTGATTACAATGCCCCCGGCATTAAGAGGAATGGGAGCACCCAATGTATTATCATATTACAAAGCAGCACTACTAGCACAAATTATTAATCTGCATGCTCCCATGGGCCCTCTGTCACATATTCATCCGCTTATAGAAATGTGGTTAATGACATTTACTGTCCACACAGGAAAAGTTGTGCCGAGCAGCAACCTAATCCACAGAAGGGTTAATGCTGAGCAGTAATTGTGCAAATGAAACCTGGTGTCATGTATTCATCCGCTTAGAGAAAAGTGATTAATGACATTTACTGTCCACACAGGAAAAGTTGTGCCAAGCAGCAACCTAATCAACAGAAGGGTTAATGCTGAGCAGCAATTATGCAAATGAAACCTGGTAACTGACTTTGGGGTCAAAGGCCGGTTACAGCCTATCAGAACTAAAGGAGGGGTATTTAGGCCCAGTTCTCAGCCTGCTCAGTGCCCTGTCGTGGTTTCCCTTGTGGTTGTCTGAGAGCGCGTTCCTGTTTATAGTTTTCTACCTGGTTTTGACTTTGGCTTTGTTTATTGACTTCTCTATATTCTGGTATCCTGACTCCTGGCTTTCCTCATCGCTGTGTCCCTTTCTGTGTTCCCTGACCTCGGCTAGTATTTTTGACTATTCTTTGTACGTTAAATCCGGCCATTCTAAGGACTGGTAATACGTTACTTATTTGTCATCCGTGCTGTACAGTTCTACGTGCTGGATCAAACAGTAATCCTGACACCCTCCGAGCGAAGTGGGCATTGAACACTCTCAATTGACTGATGCATCTCTTATATTTGGACATCTCCATCTCTACGAACAATTTATTTTTCTTTCCACTCAAATGTCCTTACATGCGTCCTCCACCGACCGTGGGCCCAAGACCAGGATCCTGCTTCCAGCAGGTAGACCTCTCCTAGTCCAGAGAGCATAGCAGGAACAGCTCTTATAAGAGCTAGTGATTATACTCAGGAAAGTATTGTGATATAGCAAACCCCAGAGTGTATGTAGTTCTCCAATCCCCCAAACATAAGCCAAGACTGTAGGTAGGGATAAAGCATTCTGTTTTAATGGTAGCCACACTGGCCTTTTATGCAAGTCCGCATGCAAGGGTGACACCCACATGGACCTTGTTGGGAACAGGGACACAAACTGACAAACCAATAAGAATAGTGATTAAATGCATGACACTCCCACATACAATACAATAAGCCTTCCCCTTTTCTTAGGAGATAATTGAGTCAAGCACTATACTAAACTCAAATATCTCCAAACACAAAAAAACACACATTTCTAAAATGTCCCAGAAGTACCCCCCAAAACAAATAATATGCCCACAAATATTACATCCCCCGATAGTCCTGATCTGGGTGACCGACACATACAAAAATCACCCAGATCAGTTCAGGGGTTCAGAAATTGTGCCGCTGGAGAACCGACAGGGAACTGTGAGGTTTTCATGCTTTAAATATTTCCAGGGTATTCGCGGCTAAGTCCTCCTGAAGTCTATTCGTGGTTTTGGTCCATGTGAACAAGATGGCCGCCACCACGTGGTCGAAGGGCACTTTGAATGGCTTTGAGAGTTTTGGAGTTCGAAGTGCCACTTCGAAAGTTTGAATGGTTCCTGTTATAAGTGCTAACAGGCACAAATAGTGATTTAAACCAAGTTTTATCACAGGGGCCTTAGTCACAGGGTAAGAGGCTGGCAAGTATGCCCCTCCAAGAACCCGTGATGAGGTCCAGTTCGTCACAGGCCATAACCACTCTTATGAAGTTATGTCAGCCAACTAGTGCCTCTTAACGTTCCCTGTAGCATACCTTGTACTTGGAAGTGCATATGAATGTCATAACTGATGTGCACCGTGTTATAATTGTTAGGTTGTTTTTTTTGTTTCAACACCTTTACTTGTCTTTTACTTTTTAGTTCATTCTCTGCATATCTGAGTATATTACAGCGTACACTGCTGTTGGATTGCTATACTAAAGTGCTATGAACTTGCCTAGTTCAAGTATTTTTTTGTTCATCAAACTCCATAAACTACAAATTATATTAAAAAAAAAAAGCTGTCAAGTGAAATTTTTTAGTTATATGATAAAACGGATTATTTTTTCGTCTCTGACATCTCGACCAGAGATAAATGTGTTGCTAAATTCAATATATTATACATTTCATTATTTATGTGCTCTCATAACAGGGATTACAACATGCACTTTATTATTTTAAAGGTTATTTTGTAATCTTTTCAAATCAAACAAATGGTTCACGTGCTAAGATTCTGTTATGATTAGATCCTGAATCTTCCAACCCATTAAACTTTCCCATTTTAATAAATATAACATAAGCAGAGGAAGAACAAATTATCGGACTCATTCCCCCTCCTAAAATCCACAAATCCAGTTGGTCTATAAACCATTATGTAAAAGAAAACTATATCTCAAATAGGATCCTTACTATTTCCCTTATATATAGCATGTGGGTCAAGCGGTGCTATCTAAAGTATTAAAATAAAGTGCTCCTCCGTAAAGATTTGCATTTAAAAAAAAATTTTTAAAAACAAAAAACGTACATTATTCGAGATTGTGAGTCTTCCTTCGTCTTCTGCCATGGAAAGTGGCCCCTAAAATGAAAAAAAAATTTGTTAAGGCCTGATGTCACTTAAAACCAAAGTATGTAGATAAAACTGCATGGAAAAAATATCAAAAAACATTTTTTGCAAGATGGCCAGAAGGAAAACAATGAAGGGAAAACAAGTATAAATAATAACTTTATCCATGAAGTCATTTTTGCTAAATCAAAGTTTACCATATCCGAAAATGATTAACTACATGCAAAAATCATGCAGGCTGAATATTTAGTTGAATCCTCACATTTAAATATGTTCATTTATTTTACTTGAATTTCAATTAAAGAGAAATGGCATTTGCACACGGGTAACTACGAATGGCAAACACTAGAAAAGAATTACGTCAACAGCAGTTATTGGAAATTTTGAGGGCTTTAAACTGGCCAATGTTTGTGACCCAGGAACAAATATGTGCTTTGTCAGTAGAAATAGTCGAGTTCTTTTGCAAGCTCCAGCTGATCTATTTAAACAGAGCTTCTTAATTCCTGGCATTGAGCCCTGCCTTAAATCTGCTGCCAGTCCAGCAACAGGATCCCAGTGATAAAACATAAATAAGCTCTTTGTAAAAAAATAAATATAAAAAAAAAGCCACTTCCTCGCAAGAAATTAATAATTCACTTTCACAATCCAAAAAAATTATAATTCTATATATATATTCATTTGATAATGCATTAATATACGATAACAAATATATGATGACAAATATGATTGTGACGTTTGGGAGGTCAGAACTTGAAAGAGCAATGAGATGGGCCAAAGTTGACTGGCGGGTGGGAATGCAATTAGCAACACTGACAATGTGCTTATCGGTAAATGTCATTCTGTTGCATTTTTGCTCCAAAATGACAGGGTGCTTGGCAGGGCAGCCATTTAGGATGGCCTCATATACTGAGCACTGCTGAAATGCTCATCTATGGATCTGAATACAAGGATATGTACCACAAGCGCAGGACGATAATGTTTAATCATGTGCTCACACTAAATGTTACAACAGCCCTCCCGAAACTGACAACGAGTGACAGAGCCTGACTATCAAGCAGTCTGGAAGGATGTGTTCTATAACCTGACAAGTCATATTTCTTAAGG